CCCTCCTCCCCCTCCTCCCCTCCTCCCCTACCTTCCCGAGTCTCCCCTCCCGCCGTGGCAATTGCCAGGGCCTCTGCGGTCTAGGTCCCGCGCGAACCACTCGCTCCGAGAGCTCCTTGCACTGCGTCTTGGCCCTTTCCAGCTCCTCCGCCGCGCGACAGACGCGGCGAAGCCGTCTGGACACCGACGCTGGGAACAACAACGCGCCCCAGCCACGGCGTCGAGGGCCCCTCCAAAGGCCCCCCAGGAGCGAAAGCAAGAGGAGGGCGTCGGTAGCCGTCGCGACTTCTCCACCGAGACCCTGCTGCCACGAGCTGCCCCCTTTCCAGCGGACAGCGATGGCGCGCCCCCGCTGGGTCTGTCAACTGGCGCGGCCACGGCGGGGGGGGGGGTGGGCGGGCGGGGGCACGCGCAGCAGGTGAACGTGTTCTTATTCGGCATGTCGACATTTGGCGGAAGGGGGGGGGCGGCGGGGGTCTGGCTCCGGACCTCTGCGGAAGGCGACTGTTTGCAGCAGTGCGTCCCATGGGGGAGACTCCACCTGCTTGAAACAGGCGCCGAAAACAGCCAAGATCTACTCCACGGGGAGGGGGGGAGGGATGCGAGGGCCCGCGCCGCTCGGTAAAACAACGAATAAGAGAACGATCACCAGGCAGCTCGGAGTTGCTTTCTCCTCGACGCCACGACCGGCCCGAGGAAGCACACTGGGACGGGAGAGCCAGATCCCCGAGGCGCGGCCGTCGACAGCGCCATGGGCCATCTCAGATCCTCGCGGCCAGGGTCTCGCCGCTCCACAGAGCGCCAGCCTGCAGATCCGCCTCCGTGCCCTGTGCAGGTTGATGCGTGGAAGACTGCCAGAACGTCCGCCTGGTAGGCGATTTTCTTCTAAGAACAGAGTTCCCCCTCTCGACGCAGACTCTGGCGTGCACCGCCCCTCCTTTCCGAGGCCACTTCCCCCGTGCCCGCTCGAGAATGGTGCACTCCCAGCATGGCAGCTGATGCCTAAACCCCCATGTCAAGCGCGCCCGGTCGAAGATGGCGCACTTCGCGCAGGCCGCTAATGCCCGAACCCTCATTCCATGAACGACCGTGCGAGAAGACGCACTTCCCACATGGCTGCTAATTCCTGGAACCGTCATCCCACGCGCACCCGCTGGAGGATAGTGCACTTCCCGCGTTCCCAAGCCTTCAAGACAGCCCACAATGTCTCCAGGGGGGCCCAAGAGTGACCCACACGAGGACCTCGAACAGGGTCCGAAGAAGCCATTGGTTCTTGAAGGATCTGCGAATTCTTGCCTTTTCGGGCTGCCGTCAGCTCAAGACGACGCAAGTGTCCTCCGCGATGGCCCAACGACACCCCACGAGGCCCCGAAGACGGCCCAAGGGGACTCCGCGATGGCCCAAGAGGCACTGAAGACAGCGCCGAGACGGCACACGAGGGACCCAAGACGGCTTTAGACGGCCCTTGCCCAAGACGGCGCCAAGACGGTCCCACGACGGCCACAAGACACCCACTATACGGCCAAGAGGGGCCCAAGACGGCCCAAGAGAGCCCCCAAACTTCGCAAGCGGGCTCCAAGATGGCCGAGGAAGGCCCAAAGGGACCCCCAAGACTGCCTCAGAGGAGGCCAAGACAGCCCAAGGACGGCTCAAACGAGTTCCATGAGTCCTCCTCAAACAGTGAAGACGAAAGGTTCACGTGCGACGGACTTCCTCTTCCTTACCCTGCTCCTGCTCCTCCTGTTCGTTCTGCTCCTTCTCCTCATGATCCTCCTCCTCCTCTTTCTCCTCCTCCTCCTCCTCATCCTCCTCAACATCCTCCTCCTCCTCCTCATCCAGATCCTCATCCTCATCCTCCTCATCCTCCTCATCCTCCTCATCCTCCTCATCCTCATCATCATCATCATCAGCAGCAGCATCATCCTCATCCTCATCCTCATCCTCATCCTCAACATCATCATCATCATCATCATCATCATCAGCATCAGCATCATCATCATCATCATCATCATTATCGTCGTCGTCGTCGTCATCATCATCATCATCATCGTAATCAGCAGCGTCATCGTCACCGTCATCATCATCAGTATCTCCATCTTCATCAGCATTATCAGCATTATCAGCATTACCATTATCATCATCAGCAGCATCATCATCAGCATCATCATCACCATCACCAGCACCATCACCATCATCTTTAGCAGTAACAGCAGCAGCACCGTCAGCAACAACAGCAGCATCGGCATCATGATCATCACCACCGTCAGCATCCCCCTTACCGTCACAGCCTTTATCATTCTCATCAGGACTCTCGCCCGCATGGAGACACGAGTTGCCACACGTGACGGCCTCCCGTACCCCTTGAACAGTGGTCACCCCAGAATGCTGGGCGGCGGGGCTTGCCAGAGGCAGCCGGCTCAACTGCTCCCCGTCGCTGCCTGTTGCGGGGGCCTCCTCTCGCGGCAGCCTGCAACCAGGCGTGTCTCGGTTCTGGCCGCCCGCGCGCGCTCCAGCTCATGCCAGACGCGCACCCGAACTCGCCGAGTACCGAGTGCAGCCAGCACGCACAATGAGGATGCGCGGTAGGGATGCAGGGGCCTCGGAGGGCCATGTCGACACTTTGCGGGCGTGGCGCGGCCATCGAAAGCGGCCAAGGAAGGGCCGAAGGGAGTGATGCAAGGGTAACCTTGGAAAGCTGCGCATCCTTGCCGTGCGGGTTGACTGCACTCTGATGAAAGGCTGCGACGTCAATCGCCGACAGGAGGAAGACGGTATGAATTACGCACCCAACGCTACGCCCTTCAGCGGCCAGCTGCCACCCCTTTCCGCTTCTTCCACTCGTCGACCATGCCGTCAAACGATATCCCTACCCAGCTCGCAAACTCGTAGACCTCCCTGTCCTCGTCCTCGTCGTCGCACGTGACGGTGTAGGCGTCGCGCGGCAATTCACGGTTTGCCTCCTCGTACGCCCTCACCAAGCACTTCGTCACGTCCGTGGCCACAGCAGCGCAGTGCTCTCCGTGCAGCGCCCACTTGTCAGGGTGCCACCTCCTGGCCAGCAGCAGGTACCGCTTCCGAGCGCCGCGCCGAGACTCGTGCCCGCCGAGCCACCTCTCCATTGCCGGCCGGCGCTCCGCCAGCAGCTCCAACAGGATGGCGGAGCTCTCCTCCCAGTCCATGCTGCGGCCAGGCAGGGCCTGCCGATGATCCTCAGACCCTGTGCTGGCGCCGGCGTGTGCTGGTCCACGGGATCCCAAACTTGCGATGCCCCGAGTTGTTCCATAAAAAAGACGAGCGCGTTTCACTACTCGCAGAGTGACTACTCGCAAATGGCCTGGATCCGCCGTGGGGGATCTACGATAAAATACATCGAAGCAGACATGTGTTTTTTGACATTTGCGAGTAGGCACTTTGCGAGTAGCGGAACGCGCTCGGTGAATAAAGGGACCCCCAGAAGTCCCGACACTCTCCCCAGGGCCTGTGTTTCATCCCAGGCTGTTTTGTTGGACGGTGCCGGGGCCTGGGGAGGCCGCTGCGAGGCAGGAAGCAAAGAACAGGACTCCTGTCGCGCTATTTCCACGACGCGGGCACGTCTGGGACCCCTTTCAGCACGACGGAGGTGGTGCAGCGATGGCCGACAGAGGCCGACAGGGCCAACACGCGTCCTGAGGATCATCGACGCGGACCCACGCGGACTCCTCGGATCCGCGCCGAGCTCCCTGCCCGGGCGCGCGGACCATGCCGGGAGCGGCAAGCAGAGGCGGCGCGCCAGGAGCCCCTCCCAAACCGGCAGATGCATCATTTCTTGGGGGCCCCCGCGGATGTCTGGGATCGCCGCCGGGCCCCCCTCCTCGGCGCGCGGAGCGCGCCGGGGACGGCGCCGGAGACGCCGCCAGAAGGCGACGCCAGGGGTGTCCAGCGCCGAGGCGAGACATCCGAGCGGAAATTGAAAACACGTCGTTGGCGCTGCTTGGGCGCGAAATAACAAGGTTATGTTGTTGCCGTCGTACTTAAGGACCACATCCCAGAAATAATTTCGAGCACCCGAAAGAGTGTGGAAAGAGTGTCGAAACAGTGTCGGACGAGTGTCTCTCAGGGCCCGACACGAGGAAATCCCTGAGTTTCGGCAACTTGTTTCTAATCCTCGACATCTTTCTGGTGATCAAGGCTAAAGTAGGTTGGAACATCATAATAATAGGGGGCGGTTCATGAGGGGGGGAGAAAGGTGCCCTTTGAGCGCCCTGAATGGCCCTTTTAGGGGCCCTCCAGGCCCCCTTCCTGCAGCCCTCGCTGCCCCCCCATGTATCCCACCCCCCCAGTGCGCGTTTTCCCCGCCGCTTCCACTTGTCTGAGGCCGGGGCAGGGCCTGAAGCATCTCCTCGGCGGCGCAGCGGCGGTCCCGGAACGAGCGCAGCTGCGCGTCCTGCCGGGCCCGCGCCTCTCGCGCCTTGGCCTCCTCGGCCTCGCGCCTGGCGGCCGCGGCGGCCTCGCGCTTCGCGCGGAGCGCCCGCTCGTGCGCCTCCTCCAGCCTCGCCTGCTCCACCCGTGCCCGCTGCCGCGCGGCCAGGTGCCGGCCCAGCACCCCGCGAAACCACGCCTGCACCCGCGTGGCTGCGGCCACCTCCCGGAGGGGCAGCAGGCGGAAGGAGCACGCAGGGAAAAGGTGTATGAAGGACGGGTGGCAAGGGCGCAAGACCCTTGGGGCCGAAGTTGGGAGTTTTTGGGCGGCGGGGGGCCAGTGAACGTGAAGACGGCAAAGGACGGGCGGTAAGGACGCCAGACCTCATCCTTGGGGCCGAAGTTGGGATGTTTTGGGCGGCGGGCGGCCAATAAAAACGGCAAAGGACGGGCCGCAGAGGCAAGGAACCCTATATAAAGGCGTGCGTCCTTACTAGGCGCGTTGACTGTTCACCTTCGGATGTCCTCGCAGATGTCTCGGATCGGCGCTGGACACTCCGCGCGTCAGGGAGGGGGACCCAGCGGCGATCCGAGACATTCGTATGGGCCTCTAAAAGCTTATATTTTTGCTTCGTGTGGGTAAGACCATTCGTGCCGTTTTGTAGAGAGCAGAAAAAAAACACATAATACATAAGCACCCCGACGAGCGAAGCCGTCTAGTGAGCACACCCTAGGCAGAAATCAAACAGGGCAGAGCTGTTCAAATAACGCCCAGGGCCGCTTCGTACACGCCACACAAGTTTGAGCAGGGAACGACCGTCCCAGCATTCCTATAGTCCTACCACGAGATGCTCTTAGAACCCACAAATGTTCCACGAAGAAAAGCACAATTCTTATAACATAATCCCAATACTGTAAAACAGGACAGTCTCAGCCAGCAATGTTCGAAGAACATTTCGTGCAGTCCACAAAAGGTTCTTAGAACATTCGCTGGTAGGGCCTATCGGCGAGCCATGGCTCGGGGTGATTGTTCCTTCCTCGATTTTGTTCCTCGAACCTCTGGTGCGGGTGGCGTGGCCGCGGCGGGCCGGCGCCCCTGCGGCGGCCTCGCCGCAGAGCCGCCTGTGCTGCCCTCGCGTGCCTTCGGCAGCGCTCGCGTCAGGCTCGGCGGCGCCGCTGTGGGCCTTGCGACGGCCGCGCGGGCGGCCGCGGCCCCGGACACCGCCAGGCTCGGGGGCTCCTTCGGTGCCGCGCCCGCGCCTCGCTTCTGAGACCCGGCTCGTGGCCGGCCGAGGCCGAACCTCGAGGCCATCGCGGCTCGCGGCCCACGCGCGCGGCAGGGCACCGCGGCCTTGGCCGATCGCTGTGACGCGGGGCGTCAGCGCGCCGCAGCGAAAGGGGTGGCGAGGGCGCACGCGCGCGACCTTTCACGCGGGCACCTTGCGCGCAAGTGCCTGCGCGAGCGAGCCCGTCGGTTCGTGGCCGCTCGGGAGGCGGCGCCAGCACCCGCGGCCGCCAGGGCGACCCGCGGGCCGCGCCAGCGCGCTGCCACCACCGCCGGCTGGCACCTGAGCCAAGAGGAGACGGAACCACTCGTCCACGCGCGCCCCCAGGGAGAGGACGCCCCTCCCCCCCAGGGGATCCCCGCCAGGACTTCCAGTGCCAATGGTCCACTCAAGCACGTGGTCCCAGAGCAGATCCTGCACACCGTCCAGACAGCCGTCCAGGATTGCGCACAGCCGTCTTGCCCATGGCAGTCGCCTGGAGGGCATCAAGGCCCGTCCGCCCAGCTCGGGGACACGGGGGTGGGTGCAGCAACGCCTCCCTGCATCACGACGAAGCCTTGCGCCACGCGGTCACTGCGCGTCTCGGCTGCTGCTGCTCGACGCCTCGTGCACAACGTCGCCGCAGACAAAAACAAAAAAACGCGACGCTTTGGCCGAGGAGGTTCCCCGTCGGGGCGACGCGCGCGGCGCGAAGGGGCCCGTGCGCCTGGGGCGCAGCCGTGCACCCTTCGCGCGGCATCCCCGACCTTTTTTGAAGGGGCCCTGGGACACACAAAGTAATAGACACAAATAAAAGGATTCCCCTATCTTTTCCCATAGTTTCTGGGTTTCTGTCTTCACCCCCACTTCCCATCTTTTCCCACATTTTCCTGGGAATCGACGATTAATTGTGCCTGTATGTGTTTTTTTCCCTCCTGATCTTTGCCTGCCCGACTGCGGCGTGGAGGGAGAAGCTCCTGGCGGACATGGGCTCCTGGGCCGCAGGGCCTCCCCCCGGGAGCCCGTTGTCCCTTCGGGGAGACGTGAGACTCGGGTCGGGGCTTTTGGGCCCCGGAAACGGCAGGGCCGTTTTTTCACCGTTTCCAAAAAAAGTGTTCCTTGAAAATGGAAACAGCAAAAAAACGGCGACCGGAAACAACAAAAAAACAGCTCCAGGATTGGAACTGGAGCCGGAACCGGTCAAAAAACGGCGACGGAACCGGTAAAAAAACGACCCTGGAACCGGTAAAAAAACGGCAGAACGGAACCGGTAACAAAAACGGCCCTGTTGTTTCCAGGCTGGCCCGACGGGGCCATCAGTGAAAATGGCGAGACCCAATCTGAAACTTGGCGCGAGCTCCCTCTGCAAGCATCCCACGAAAACCGGACCGTCAAGATCCAGGACGCGCTCGTCAAAAAACTTCGGCAAGCCCGAGTCCCGGCCCACTCGAGTCTTACGTTCCCCCGACCCATGCCGAGGTCGCCTTCTGACGGTGCCCTGGGGCCGGGGAAGGCCCCACGAGCCCGAGAACGGAGAGGACCTGCAGTGGAGTAGAAGACGACAACACGATCATAGACCTTCGGAGCTCCGCGCGGACTCCTTGGATCTGTGCCGGGCCCCTGGGGCAGCGCCACAGTCGCCGCTGGGGTGGCCCCGGCGCAAATCCGAGCAACACGCGCCGAGCGTCGGAAGCTTGCATCTGTGCCGCTTCGAAGTGGCGGCGTCCGAGCCCTACACCGCCGGCCATCGATCCTCCTGATTCGATAGGGGGCGGGGTAGGGTTCGGACTTCGCCACTTGCACGTGTTCGACGGCTTCCGAACCCGACCCTTAGGACGGGCATGTCACCCTACAGGCGGATTTTGGACGAACCATCAAACAGATTTCAAACATTCAAGTATTTTAAATGGTAAAACAAATCGTCCCAGACTATTTTTTACTATTCTTGAATATTCATCCTGTTGAGGGACAGACCAAACTTAACGCTTCCCTCAAGGGCGCGTCCGACTCTGCGGCGATAGAGGGGACACCCGGCAGCGGCACGCGGGGGGGGAAATGGGGATGGGGAGGCTCTGCTGAACACCGCCGACGAAGGGCGCGCGAGGAGCGGCGCCGCGCGCAGGCGCTTCGGGCGGGGGAGACACGGCCCGAAACATCGCCGAAACATAGCTGGCGGGTTCGGGAGGCCCTGAACCAAAAAACCGTGCCATCTCTCGGGGGGGAGGTTTACTTCTGCCGGCCTTTCTCTTCCTTCTTTAATTTGGAGAAAAAAACAAAAAACACTGCGCCCAAACACCTTCCAGACGGACGCTTCGTGAGGGGCCGAGTTCTGAACTCTACCGAAATCGGCGCATCAAAAATGTCGTATTTCAAACGAGGTCGGGCCGAAAAACGGGAGCGGTGAGCCGCGGGACGGGATTTGCCATGCACTCACGCGCCCCAGAGGTTTCAACACGACTCCTTCTGGGCCCCGAGGAGGGGCCAAGGGGGGGCCCGAGTTCCGGCCCGCGTGGAGCATCTGAAACGGCCCTTTCAGATGCTCCACTCGGGGCATTCTTGGGCCCTCTGAGTAGGGGGAAAACAAACCGACCTCGCTTTTGACCACCCTCGCTTCCAAGAGATACCAAACGATGCCAAATTGCAGCCTGTACTGGTCAGGCCGCTTGACAAGGAGGCGCGTGGTATGGCTTGGTTTTGCCTGGAAGCGAAAGCGGGGTAGGTAATTCACGCTCTGACTGAGGCCTCTCTGAGGAGCCCCAGGGGCTTCAAAGTGGCTCCTGAAGGGCCCAGGGAAAGGTATCCGAGAGGGGGTCCGGGCCCGAGCACGCGGGGAGCATGGGAAGCTGCCGTTCAAGATGCTCCACGCTGGCTGGCTTCTGGGGCCTCAGGTCTCTCGGAGGAGCCCCAGGGGTCTCAAGATGGCTCCTCAAGGGCAAGAGGAGGAGGAGGAGGAAGAGGAGGAGGAGGAGGAGGAGGAGGAGGAGAAGGATGACAAGAGGAGGAGAATGAGGAGGAGGAGGAGGAGGAGGAGGAGGAGGAGGAGGGAGCAGGAGGAGGAGCAGGAGGAGGGAGGAGGAGGAGGAGGAGGAGGAGGAGGAGGAGGAGATGGAGGAGATCCCGAGCCAGCGTGGGGCAAAGGCGACGGCGGGCGAGGGCGGGGTGCCCCCTGGCATTGTGTGTCGGATCGGGTCTCGAGCGGCAGCACGCGGCTCTACACGCGTCGCTCTCACAAAGGTGGCCCCCCTCGGGCCAGAGGGGCCAGCGGTGCGACACCGGACGTTCATCGTCGATGGGGCCGGAGGCGGAAAGGGGAGATGCAGTGCACAGCTGGGGCTTCGCCGAAAAGAGCACGACCCCACCCACACACGGGCGTCCAACGTTGGCGCGCCACCTGCAGAGGGAGCAACTACCCACCCTCAGGGATCGTCGCCGAGAGGGGCTCTCCTGCGATTGGGAAGCACTCCAGCTAACATAAACATATAAACTCTAGACAGTCCGCGCGGATTTCTTGGGTCGGCGCAAGACACCCTTCCCTGGCGCGCGGAGCGCGCCAGGAGGCGCCGCCAAGGGGCCCCAGCGCCGATCCGAGGAATCCGCGCGGAGCTGCGGAAGTTGATGTTTATGCCGGTGTTTCTTCTTCTTCTTCTTGTTCTTCTTATTTTTCCTCTTCTTCTTCCTCTTCTTCTTCGTCCTTCTTCTGAGAGAGAGAGAGAGAGAGAGAGAGAGAGAGACAGAGAGAGAGAGAGAGAGAGAAAGAGAGAGGGAGGAGCGCTAGTCGCATCCTAGCCAACGTCCTCACCCAAAACGTGCTGCGCATGCCAAACGCCTGCGATAGCCGCGCTCAGCCATGAAGGGCGAGCTGGCCGAAGAGGCTTCACGACTGTACGAACCTAGCTAGTCGAAAGCTCCACACACGCACACACGCAGGAGGCAGCGTTTGGCGGCGCGCAGGGGGGGGTATGGGGGGAGGGGGGCAGGCGTCTTAGGAGGGGGCTGCTTCTTGGAAGGTGCCGGCCTTGCATCTGCATGCAAGGCCCGCATCTTCTACGAAGCAGGGGTGTTTCTGAGAAGCCTTCCCCCCCAACCCCCCTCTTGGAGCAGGGACCGACCGTCCCGGCCCGGCATTCCTATAGTCCTACCACGAAAGGATTTTTAAGCCCAAGAATGTTCCAAGAGCAAAAGCAAGGTTCTTGGAACATCAACCCGATGTGACAAACCGAGACGGACTCCGCCAGAGATGCTCCAAGAACATGTAGTGGGAACCGCAAGAGGCTCTCAGAGCAGTGTGTGGCAGGGCTACCGGCGAGCCAGGGCGTTTCGCCACGGCTCGACCTCTGCGCGTGGCCGAGCACGCCCTGGGAGGCAGCTGCCAGGAGACCCCCGCCAGGGCGGCAGCAGGGGGCACGCATGCCCCCTGCCTCCTGCACAGGGGAGGGCGCAGGCCAGGCGAGCCGGGGCGAGGCGGGGGCGAAGGGGTCTCGGGGCCATCCCGATGTAAAAGGGGCCCCGGGACACGAACATAGACACACGCACAGATAGCATGATTCCCCAGGTGTTCCCCCTACTTTCTGGGTTTTCGTCCTCCCCCCCCCACTTCCCATAGTTTCCCATTCTCTCCTGGGGGTCGGCGACGCATGATATCTGTGTGTTTTTGTCCCTTCCTGATGTTCTCCCGGAGCCATGCTGGATCGGGCGGGATGGAACTGGGCGGTGCCAGATCAGGTCGGTTGTCGACCGCGGACGCACCAGCGGCGATGCCGAATGCAACCTCCCAGCAGCTGCATCCGAAACACACTGTGCACCACTACCCTCCCTGGCCAGGGCCGTCCCGGGCCCTGGGATGGCGCCCGCGACACCCTGGCCTTGACATGGCCGGCCTGTGCCGATGCACATTTCGAGTAGGGGATCGGCTACAATATTGATTTGCCACGACCTTGATCTGTTCGTCGGGTCTACGAGACAATACGTCAAACGTTCGCAGGTCTACAACCATCCGACGCACTGTTTGCAGATCCGACGACAGCTCGAAGTTCACGGCAAATCAGTTCTGTAGTCGATCCCCAATTCGAGCAATCGCACTCCCAAGGCCCAGGTATACTTCTGCAGCAACTCATGGGAACCTCCCATACCATCTTGCTAGCTCTTGTGAGTCGACGCTCCGCGACGCTACCCGACGCTAAGTCGACGCTAGATTGACGCTAATATACGCCCGTCGACGCTCATCGACGCTAGATCGGCACCATCTGATCGATTTCCAGACGCAAGTCGACGCTAGTGTATCTAAAGGGTGCATCAGGCTCCCACGATTGGCTACCAAAACATGACTCTCCGGCCTCGGACGGTGCCGGTCTGCCGCCCTCTGCGCAGAGCCGCACGCCCCCGAGCCGTGTGACGACGACGACGACGACGACGACGACGGCGACGACGACAACGCTGACGACGACGACGCTGACGACGACGACGACGACGACGACGACGACGACGACGACGACGACAACGACGACGGCGGCGGCGGCGGCGGCGGCGGCGGCGGCGGCGGCGGCCGCGATTGGGCGATCGGGGGCCGCCGCCGAAGGCCTCGGGCCGCCGAGGCCGCCGTCTGGCCGTGCCTCGCCCTGCGCGGAGGCCGGCTGCACGAACCCCCCGGGTGGCCGAGCGGCCTCGGACGGCCCGCCCGCGCCCGCCGCGCCCGCGGCAAGCGGGCGCGCGCGGCCGCGTGCGCACGCGCGCGGGCGGGAGCGCACGGCCCTGCACGCACGCGCCGCCCACACCCCCGGGGGGGGGGGGGTCCAGCTCCTCGGTCCTCGCCGCCGCCTCCGCGCCCCGCCGCGCCAGCTGCGACTGCAGCTCCCGGCTCTGGGACCTCAGGACGGTGAGCTCCTCGCAGCGTCGCTCGCTCTTGGCAGGTCCGCGCGGCTGGGCCGCCCGGCCGCTCGCAGCGAGCCCCCCGCGGTGCGCCACTCGTCTCCGAGCCCTCTGGAGAAGGGCGGCCGCTCTGGCCCAGGCCGCCGCGAGCGAAGCGCGATGATCTGGGCGCCCCCGCGGATGACCCACCTGGACTGACGACTGCCGATGGTCTTACTGGAGTAGCGACTGGCGGTGGTCTTGCCCCGGGGTTCTGAAGTTTCTCCTCTGGACTTTCTCGGATGAGCGCTGGGGCCCCCTGGCGCGGACGCCAGGGAGGGGGGTCCTGCGCCGATCCGAAAGTTCCGAGCGGACCGGACCTCAGGGCTATGTTTTGTCATTGTTCAATATTTGTTCCACGAGTTCCCTCTCTGGGCTTGGATTTGTAACAGGCACGCGCGCCTTGCGAACACAGGCCGCTTGAAAGGCCGAGCCATGAGACGTCTGAGCTCAGCGGTCGTGAGCAGCTGCCTGGGGCTACTCGCATCCGCCGACCCCTTGGGGATCATCGGCGTGTTAGATGGGCCCGGTCCTGTCGATTTGGAGGGGGGGGGCCGTCCGACCCGAGTTCCTCAGGGAGGTCCGGAACTTTCCAGGCTCCTTTTGGAAGTCCACAACAGCTTCTGGGGCCGCCCAAGAGGTCCGCAAGAGGGTCCAAGAAGGCCGCGAGACGCCGAAAGATCGTTCCAAGACGCCTAACATGGGCCGAAAGATCGTTCCAAGACGCCTAACACGGGCCGAAGACGGCCCAAGCGGCCGCCAAGACGTTCCACGAGGCCACCCAGGAGGCCTCCAAGATGCCAAAAATTTTAAATTTCCTAAAAGGAAACGTGCATTTCTAGCACATGCGATTTTTCCGCCTTCGCAGCGCGGAAGCCCTTCCAAGATGCCTCCAAGACCGCCTTAAGACGGCCCCATAGGCTCCCAAGAAGCCCCCGACACAACAGAACAGGCGCCCAAAACAACCCAAACAAAAGGACTCCAAGACGGCCCAAAAAAGGGCCCGAAAGGAGAACACGAAACGAACATTCCAGCCGTCCGCCCCTAGAGGCTCCCAGGAGGCCGCAAGAGGCTCCAAAAAGGCCCCCAGACGCCCCCAAAAGGCCCCCAAGAGGCCCCAAGAGGCTCCCCAGAGGCCTCCAAGAGGCCCCAAGAGGCCCTCAAGTCGGCTTCGATATACGATGGTTAGGCCTTCACATCGCGGAAGCCCTTTCAAGATGCCTCCAAGACCGCCCTAAGACGGCCCCATAGGCCCCCAAGAAGCCCCCGACACAACAGAACAGGCGCCAAAAACAACCCAAAAGGGCTCCAAGACGGCCTCAAGAGGGGCCCGAAAGGGGAACACGAAACGAACATTCCAGCCGTCTGCCCCAAGAGGCTCCCAAGAGGCCGCAAGAGGCTCCAACAAAGGCCCCCAAACGCCCCCAAAAGGCCCCCAAGAGGCCCCAAGAGGCTCCCCAAAGGCCCCTGGATGGATCACGGGAGCGGCCCTGGGCTGGACCCCTGAGGTCTCCAAGAGGCTTCCCCAAAAGACCCCAAGCACAAAGAGCGAAAAACATCAGAGTGAGGGGGCTGAACCGAACGGTCATTCAATGTCTCTGGGTGCGTGGCTGAAGCGGAATTCCGCGATGCGGATTCTTGTTGGTGTTGTTGGTGTTGTTGGTGTTGTTGTTGTTGTCGTTGTTGTTGTTGTTGAATATTATTACTTCTAAAGCATAATTATTGTTGGGCCCCCTGGTGCACGCCCCCCTCGCCGCGCCTAGGCCGCAGCCACATTTTCATAATTTTCGTGAGGAAGTCTCAGGCAAAACGATGTGTACCAGATCCGGTTGTTTTGTTGACGCCCGCTTTCCCTGTCAAAAAACAATATAAAATGACATGTCTTGTTCTAACATAACCAAACTTCAAGAATCCTTTGCAACAAATGGCACGAAGTGCACACTCGCGCGCGCAAGATGAAACCCTTCCAAAACCTTAGTTTTCGTAGCGATTTTAACATAAAAGCATGAAAAACCCAATGGTTTTTCAAAAAAAGAGTTTCAAAAATTCATCCCGCGCGCTCTTGCGGATTTCTGAGGAAACCCAATACTTTTTCAACATTTCTGTCAAACGGGCTCTTGCGAGCAACTTTTTCGAACTTCTGCAACAACGGTTGCGCACCTGCCAGGGCCATCATCCCTGTCAAATAATACCATGCGGGACACATTCGTTTTTTCTTCGCGCGCGCACGCCGTCGTCGTCGGCCGCGGGGCCCTGAATAGTAGCCACGGTCGTCCGCATGCCACGAAGTGAAGTGTCCGAACGTCATAGGGCGGGAAGCTGGGTGTGGGTGGTGGCGAAGAGTCGTTTGGAAATTTGGTAGAGCTTGAACCGGCCCCCCCACAAAGTGGGGGTATTGCCCGCCTCCTATGAAAACCCTGGCACTGGTGAGAACGGTGTGTCCCCACGTGCTAGTAATTGTTGTTGTTGTTGTTGTTGTAAATGTTGTTTGCTGTTGTCGTCGTCCCACCCGCGACCCGGCCCGCGACCCACCCCGCGACCCACCCCGCGACCCACCCGCGACCCACCCGCGACCCGCCCCGCGACCCACCCGCGACCCACCCCGCGACCCACCCGCGACCCACCCGCGACCCACCCGCGACCCACTCCGCGACCCGCCCGCGACCCACCCCGAGACCCCCCCGGCGACCCACCCGCGACACACCGGCGACCCACCCGCGACCCACCCGCGACCCACCCCGCGACCGACCCGTGACCCACCCTCGACCCACCCGCGAACCACCGCGACCCACCCGCGACCCACCCTCGACCCACCCCGCGGCCCACCCAAAATGTTCGGCGCCTGCGGCGGGTTTCTTTTGCATTCGTTCCAGGTGGAGAACCTGCGACCCACCCGCGACCCAAACCGCGCCCGCGACCCACCGCGACCCCGCGACCCACCCGCGACCCACCCGCGACCCACCCGCGACCCACCCCGCGACCCACCCAAAATGTTCGGCGCCTGCGGCGGTCTTCTTTTGCATCCGTTCCAGGTGGAGAACCTGCGACCCACCCGCGACCCAAACCGCGTTCAGTGTACAAATCGAAATGTTCGGCGCCTGCGGCGGGCTGTTTTTGAACTCCTTCTTGCAGGAGGTGGAGAGCCCACGACCCACCCGCGACCCAAGCTACGTTCGCTGAACAAGCCAACATTTCGGCGTCTGTTGCGGGTTTCTTTTGCATCCGTTTCAGGTGGAGAACCTGCGACCCAAACCGCGTTCAGTGTACAAATCAAAATGTTCGGCGCCTGCGGCGGGCTGTTTTTTAAATTCCCCCCAAAAATAATCAGAAGCAGGAGGAGGAGGAGGAGGACGAGGAGGGCGTCATCGACAGGGAAGGTGAGGGCCACGAGGTCCGCCGGCTCGACGCCCGCGACGCCCGCGCCCGCCCCCTCACTCTTATCCGCCCCCGCCCCCTCACTCTTATCCGCAGGTTCGCCTTTTGACACCAGGAGGGCTCCAAGACGGCTAAAGGACCACCAGGAGAGCTCCAAGACGAACAGAGAGACTCCCAGTCAGCCGGACGGAGAACCGGAACGGACACTTCGAACCTTCGGCACCAAGACGCCCACAACGTGCCCCAGGGACCCCCAGGAAGCCCCAACAAAAAATACAAAGGGGTCAGCGGTGTGGCGTAAGCCTAAGTCAATCAAAATTGCCGCAACCGCTTGCTTTGCTGCATCGTAAGAAAATGCGCATCGCTGGGGTTAGTCTGCCACCCATGTCGCCAGTATTGAGGCCAGTCAGGGCTGGTCGGTACAGGGCAGCAGGTCCACCTCAACTAGTCGACTTCTACCAGCATTGCCAGGCAGTGCTGTACTAAAGAGAATGTGGATCACCAAACTGCTCGCCCTTTGCCCGCCCCCCCCCACACACACACACACACACACACACACGCCAAGGGACGAGCATACGGACGCCGCGCCGCACTGGATGCGTGGCCCTCGAATAGCCCAACTCCGCCAGGATCCCAAATCTGTAAGCTGACGGCGTTTGGGAGCCCACACCGAACACTACGGGTGGTCGAGGCTTCTAGGCTCAAGTGCGGCATCTGGCCCTCGCCCCAGTGCCCCATATCAACAACTCGCGGAGACAGGAGGCCAATAGCCTCGCGCTAGCAAATTCTCCTCACTGCCCTGGGGTACACAAACCAAACACAGATCCCCCCCATGACTTCAAGCTCCCAGCAGACACCATGACGATCGGGACTTTCCAACAACGAGCTTCCTATCTTCACCTGCCTGACCGACAATAACCAGAACGTGCACAAGTCCGAACTGCGCAGAATACACCCTCGCCGCACTGGCTTCAAAGAGCCCAGCAACATCTTACCACCCAGTTGGCAAACCAACAACGGTCACGACATGTTTTTTTTCCGCCCGCCTGGTCGAATTACAAGCGCCACCAGCACATCGTTCCCCGCCTGACCCAAGACTGCACACAAAACATCCTCAACCCCATGGCCTTCAACTGCCGACCAAGCATCCTCCGCCCGTTGGGGAAGCTGGCCAGAATCACTTCCTCGCCCGCCTGTCCTACAACCACAGGTTGCGTGTACGTATGCACATGCACAGGAGAGGGCAAGACGAGGTCCCAAGCCGTCCAGCAAGGACCACGAAGACGGGCCACAGTCGGCCCACGATGCCAGCATTACCAAGCAACAGGCTCCCTCGACGGCCCCGGGGGCCCCGAGGAGGACCGCCAAGAAGCCCCGCAGGGGGCAACAGTCATCTACTCCCCGCGGGTTTTCGCAAGAATTCGGTACCAATGCCTTCTCGGTGCTCAGGGGCCTCCAAGATGACCTTAGAGGCCCCAAGTATAACGCCACTGCGACCCAAACTGCACCAAGGGGGCGAGGGGAGGCCCACGACTACTCACCAAGGCCCCGAACAGCCGACGAGAGTCCTAGCACGGCCCAACAGGGTCTCCAGACCGCCGCAAGAGACCCCATAGACGGCCCAGGGAAGCCCGAGAAGGCCGGGACGGACCCCAAGGCGCCCCCTACTGGCCCCCGACACGGCCGCCAGAGACCCCCGTACATAGCTTCAGCCACCACTGGCCTAGATCTGCCCTCACATCCCCACCCGCATCGATTGCAACTGACAGCAAAGTATAGCATCGTCCCCATGGCCTAACATTGCCAGCAACCGACCATCAGAGACGTCCAGCAACATGTCCTGGCACCGTGGCCTACCACTGCAAGCCACATATCCTCGACCGCCTGGCCCGAAACAGTAAACAACGTTTCACCCACATGCCGACGACTGCCAGCAATTCACCGAACCCCTCAACCTGTTACGCAATTTGACTCAACCGCCTGGCCTAAAACTGACAACTAAATGCCCCCACCCCTGGCCTAAAGCAGCCAGCAGAGTATCCTCGACTTCTGCTTAAAAAAACTACGAGAATACATCTTCCCCACACGGCAACATTTGCGGTATATCGGCGTTGTTAGTTCAGCGCAGCCCGTCTCAATCCAGCACGCAAAAAATCAAGTACAGGGCTGCGCCCGCAGCAGGGCACACTCCGGCGCAATGCAACATCAATTGACAGTAGCGCAGCGCCGTCTCGAAAAATGAAAGGCCTAGTTGGCAACAAGGGGATGGCTCCAGTGCAAGCATCCTGCGAAGACAAATGCCGCAGCAAGCATATAATGAAATGCCCTGCGGCGTACCCAACCCATTGACAACGACTGTACCGAACAGATTACCACAACTGTTGCGGATGCTCCATGTGTCGTAAGAAGTTGCATGGGATGCCCGCGCTGTGCGAGACTCACAGGGCACTCATAGGAGCGTGACGGCGGGGTGGACGAAGGTAAGCCCTAGGCCCGAAGGGAGAAGGGGCGTGACCGAAGCGGAGACGGAACAGTAGCAGCAGCAGCAGCAGCAGCAAGGGGAATGGCACGCGCAAGGACGAAACGGGCGACGAACAAGGAGGAGGGAGGAAGGAGGGGGCAACGCTCCAACTCTCACCCGTGGGCAGCGGCATCGCGCTTGGACGATACCTGTTCTTGATTGGAAGCGCCGCCAGGCGCGCATCTGAGGCGTGTTTGCGCGCGTCTGACTCCCGCGCTGAAGGCCCCAGGGAAAAGGCCGAGCGGCTGGCACTGCAGCTCGGCTTCGCTCAACTCTTGCGCTGGCTACATAGACAACCGTCCTCGGGAACGCGAGGCAAGCAGGACACCCCTGCGGGGTCCGAAGGACAACCGCTGGCCCCCTGCATCACCCCCCTGCGGAAGCGCCGACGGTTTCAAAGATCGCAGCCCCCAAACGATGGTGTAAGGTAATATGACGCCTCGCTCGGTACCCGCTACGCTTGAGTCGGGCATGTCTCCCTACATGCAGATCTTCGGAGAAAAAAGTAAAACATATTCAAACATTGCCAAGAGATGGTCAACAATAATCAACAAAAACGTGCCCTAACTGCTTTCTCCACTATATTGGAATATTTCTCCTGTAGAGGGACAGGGCCAACTTAACACTACGCTGACCCCCACGCAGCCCGCGAACATGGCCACCGTCTCCCTCCATTCTTCGCGCTCCCTCCGAACCTGGACCCCCGCAGGACCCAACAGTGCTGGACCCCAAAGCAGCCTCCGAAAGGGACGACAACTTCACGCTTCGCAGCCCCCTAGGCATGGCGCGGTCGAATCAGGATCCCCGCATGACCCCACTAAACTCGACAAGCGCGTTCCACTACTCGCAAAGTCGCTACTCGCAAATGGCCTGGACCTGCCGCAGGGAATGTACGATAAATTACACCATGGCAGACGTATGGCTTTTCGGACGTTCGCGAGTAGGCACTTTGCGAGTAATGGAACGCGCTCGGCGATAAACTGTGCCCCCCCGGTAGCTCTCGAATGTAGCGACAGTGCTACACTTCGCATACCCTCGCAGGACCCCTCTATATGCTGGACCCCCGTTAGCCATTGACAGCAGCGCAAATCCACACGTCACAGCTACAAAAGCATGCCGATGCCTTATCTGGACACCCGTAAGACCTCACGATGCCGGACCCCCCAGCAGCCCTCGAATGTGGCGACAGGTTCACATTCCGCAGCCCCCCCGGCCCCAAGCATGGCGAGGGCGTGTTCCCCTACAGCGGGATTTTGGATTTTGGGAGAAATGTCCAAAACATACACAAAAACAATCCAAAAACCGTCCCCTGACTTTTTTAAACTGTTTTTGAAGATTCTTCCTGTAAAGGGACAGGCCCGACTTAATGCTGATTTCTGCCCATTGTCTCCGTCGTTGCCCCTTTCGGTCCCCCCCAGAGCCCCTTCCTTCGAGCTGTCGCCGGCAGCCGCCTCCAGGGCCTCCACGCGCTGGCGGAGCTGCAGGCTGGCGGCCTTCTCCCTGCGGAGCTCTTCCGCCTCGGGGCAGACTGGCAGATATCCCCCCAAAAAAGAAGGAAGGTGATCAGGAAACGGAGGAGGAGGAGGAGGAGGAGGAGGAGGAGGAGGAGGACCCGAGAGTTTGAATTTGGAACGGTCAACGCACGGCCCACAACAACGCACGTTGCTCTGTCGTGCACGTGGCGAGAAGAAAACAAGCGAGCGCTGAAATTGACCTGACGCAAGACCAAACCGTAAGCAATTGTGGATACCGCGTTTTGGGTTCATCGTTCGACGGGCCTCCCTCTGGGGCCACGAACCGTGTGAGGGGTGTGCGAAAAGGGCAGGGAAACGCATGCGAACTTTGCCACTGAGGCCTTCGGCGGAGCTCCCTGTGGGGCCAAGAACCGTGTGAAGGGTGTGCCGAAATGGGCGGGGAACCGCATGCGAATTTTGCCACAGAGGCCTTCGGCGGAGCTCCCTATCGGGGTGTGCCGAAATGGGCGGGGAACCGCATGCGAACTTTGTCACTGAGGCCTTCGGCGGAGCTCCCTGTGGGGCCACGAACCGTGTGAGGGGTGCGCCGAAATGGGCGGGGAAACGCATGCGAACCCTGTCGATGGGGCCTTCGGCGGAGCTCTCTGTGGGGTCACGAAACGTGTGAGGGGTGTGCCGAAATGGGCGGGGAAACGCATGCGAACTTTGTCACTGAGGCCTTCGGCGGAGCTCCCTATGAGGTCACGAAACGTGTGAGGGATGTGCCGAAATGGGCGGGGAAACGCATGCGAACTTTGCCACTGAGACATTCGGATGACCTCCATGTGGGGCCACGAACCGTGTGAGGGGTGCGCCGAACTGAGCATGGAACCGCATGCGAACTTTGCCACTGAAGCTTCGGCGGAGCTCCCCCTGTGGGGTCACGAACCGTGTGAGGGGTGCGCCGGGATGAAGGTGGAACTGCATGCGAACCCTGCCACTGGGGCCTTCGGTGGAGCGCCCTATGGGGCCACGAACCGTGTGAGGCGTGCAGGAATGAGCGGGGAACGATGACGATGATGGTGATGATGACGGCCGTAATGGTGATGACGATGGTGACTACGATGACGGCGACGAGTTCGATGATGATGATGCTGATGATGACACTGATGATGATGATGATGATGATGATCATCATCATCATCATCAGCATCATCATCATCATGATGATAATACTGATGATGATGATGATGATGATGATGATGATGATGATGGTGGGAGGAAGGGAAGAAGGGAGGAGCGGGAGGAGGGGGAGGAGGAGAGGAGAGGAGAGGAGATACGGGGCGCTGTCTCGTCAAACCGAGGACCCAACACCACAGGATGGTTGAGAAAGAGGAGAAGGAGCGCAAGAAGAAGAATAAGAGCAATGCGTGATGATGATGATGATGATGAGATGTTGATGCTGATGCTGATGCTGATGCTGATGCTGCTAGTAATGATGATGCTGCTGATGATGCTAATGATGATGATGATGATGATGATGATGATGATGATGATGATGATGATGATGATGATGCGGCTGTTAAGGATGATGCTGATGATGATGATGCTGATGATGATGCTGCTGATGATGATGATGATGATAATGATTTTGCTGCTGCTGATGATGATGATGATGATGATGGGAGGAGGGAGGAGCAGGAGGAGGATGAGGAGAAGGAGGAAGAGGAGAGGTGAACGTTGGGCGCTGTCTTTCACAAATAAGGCCCAACACAGGATGGTTGGGAAACACATACTGGGTTGTGGCAGACGACCACTACTTAACATGCCCGAGCCGTGAACTTGCAGGTCGGTGCGCCCCCGCGTCGATGCGCCCTGCCGTTTTGCGAAACGCACGATTTCACAATCAAAACTGGAAAGCCCCGAGACATCCACAAGATGCAACCATATAGCCCGACGCTCCCCCAAGGAGGCCAAAGCCATGAGGGCCCCAGGAAATCCTATGACCCCAAACCTCTCTAAGACTGTCCCATGACAGCTCGAAGGTCTGGAAAATATCTGATCCCCAATCAGGCGTGGCCCTCAAGGCTCGTCTCCAGAGCAACGCAACAATCATGCAACGCGGCAGACTTTTGCCACCCTGCACCATCGTTGCGCAGATTCTCGACCCATTCCCTAGGACTGGTTTCTCATCCTGAGCAGCTCTGTGCAATCACAGGACCAGGAGTCGGCCCCCAGACGCTGATACATCACAGCCGAATCTTCCCCGACCAACTCCAGGATTCATTATTGGTTCAAGCACGAGTATGACTGGCCCTGGAAACCTGTCGGGCGTCGGGTAAAACGATAGTCTCAGAAGAGCTAGTGTCGATATCACATCGAGGCTGAGCAGGCACGCGACTCTGCTGCATGCCGCGACAAGGGGCACACCCCCTTCGTTGCAGAACGGGTCATGCGGAGGTATTGGCAGTGCTGACAAAGCCTCGTGCAACATCCAACTTTCTTCCGGGTGCAAGGTCGAGAATAATTCTTCCCGCGGGGTCGAATGTCCTCTACCTGTATGTGTACACATATGCAAAGGCACCAAGTTCCAACAATACGATTCCTGCACCTTGTCTGTGCCTGCGATGTATCTCAAAACAGCCAGGGAATGTGTTGCTTTCGTTGCGACCTCTACACTTTATATGTCAGCTTCCGGTTCCGTTTCACAGCGCCATGGAGGTCTGTGCGCATGGCGTGGCCGCGAGGCGAGCTTGCGATGCTAAACGGGCGTGCTTCGATCGCGGCTATCAGCGCTCAGGCCTGCGGAATGATACCCGACAAGTTTTCACAATTCGGCTTCCCAGACGCGCTTGTTGGCCAGATTAGCACTTGGTCACGCAAACCAAACCCTATCAAAATCGCCGCCCCAAAGAGGTCCATGGCTGGAGTTTCGGGCGCGGTCTTTTGCTGGGGATATCAAGACTCTTGCCTCAAAATCTAAACGAACAGCTGTCACAGAACGAATGCACATTCTTGCTTCAGAACGGTTGCCAGAATTCGTATACCATGGGTTCTTTCGGCCCCACCGTGTGTCGAGGTAGCGGGCGTGCCGCAACGTGGCGTCAGGAAATCCACGAACTTTGGCATCACAAGCAGATGTTCGGGGTGATACGACTTTCGCTAAAGACATGGCTGTGCAAGCCGTGCTTGCAGACATGGCTTTAGTTGGATCGGGGTGGTGCCCACTGCGCGCTAGGGCCGGCAGCGCAGCATAGCGACTGGACAGCTGCTCTCCAATTGTTCTGGAGAGACTGGGTCCCAGTCGATACACACGCTTCCACAATCACCGCTTGCACTGAAGGTGTCCTTTCTCCGTCAGCTCTCACCGGAAGGGTTTCTGAAAGGGCTGGTGGGGATAAGCGCTTCGTGAAGAGTTAGGAACTTGACCGAGGACGGTTGAGATATATAACAGTTGCAAGCTCGACCATCACCGCGAGCCTGAGATCGCGAGGTAAACTTACAAGTCCGTACAGGTAAAGGTTCTATATGTGCACATGCAGGCTGGAGAGGGAGAGAAAGAGAGAGGGAGGGGGGGAAACAGAGAGAGATAGAGAGAAAAAAAAAGAGAGAGACAGAGAGAAAGAGGGAGAGATGGAGAGGGAAATAAAGGGAGACACGAGCAGAAAACATAACACATGGAGAAATAAAGACAACAAAAACAGGATAGGCAGAACACGATACATGCATATATGTCTATAAGGAGAAAGAAAGACAGAGACAGAGAGAAAGAGAGAGCGTGAGAGAGTTTTGAGCCCACGTGCAAAATGGTGGATCAAGTGGTAGAGAAGACATAGTGCAGAATACCAGGCAGAGTTCAGCCGAGGGGGTGGAGAGACGAAGGAAACGAGAGGGAGAGACAGAGAGAGAAAAAAGAGAGCGAAAATAGAGAGAGAGAGAGAGAGCAGAGGAGAGCAGAGCAGAGCAGCGTAGAGCAGAGGAGATAATACACATCGTTAGCTGCATGTGCCCCAAGGGAGGCCCTTGGCAAGTGGCAAAAAATGCACCGCCGAGGGCCGGGGAACAACCATACACAACAACTATAAAACCAAGAACAACGTGTTCAAGAAACGCCCGCACCTTGTAGATACAAACACTGCCGCGCACGACGTTGCCTTGGACATTGCTCAAATCGCGCCATCGCGCGCGTGTAGCGTCACAGTGTTACAAACCATGCAAGGACTGTTCGACTTGACTGAGACAAGGAATGGTTTATAAGACACGAGTTGGACGACTGGAGACCTCTCAATTCGCAATCGTCGCCGCGGGGGCGTGTCGACTAAGTCCACAAGGGTTCCAGAAAAACGGTAAAATCATCCTGGTGGGTGTGGGAGCGGGTTGTTCTCGCCCGAGAAAAAGAGAAGGATCTATAACTTCACCGGAAGTTGCAAACACATGCTTCAATGTACATTCGATGTAGACACGTAAACAAAGAGTGTGAAAGAGAGAGAGAGAGAGAGATCCGAGAGCAGAGGCAGAGACAACCACCGAGAAAGTCAGGGGATCCCAACATAATGGATATCATGCGTACGTATATAAGCACATGTACATACACGTGGTACGTGGGAATACGGATTTGTGAACAGTGCGAGAAAGAGAGAGAGAGAGAGAGAGCACGAGCGAAAGAGAGAGAGAGAGAAAGTACATACTATGGCGTATAGAGCATGGGAAAGAGTATAAGTGTAGGTATGCATGTATGCACACATATGTACATATGTACATATACATATACATATACAAAAACATACATACCTGTATGTACATATGTACATCTATATATGTATACACCATGTCGTCTAACACAGGAAACATCAAGTTAACCATGACAGGCAGAGGGCGGATATCAAATATAACCAAATGGCTTGCGGCACAACTTGTCCTCATTCCCTTCTCACGCGTAGACTTCACAGGATCCACTCAATTGTTCCCTTTCTCTAATGTGGTCATTTTTTTCGAGGGGGAGGGGGAGGGTGGATAATGGAAGGCGACCATCCCTGCTCGAGTAAACGATGCGGCAACTGCAGGGCGAATCGAACGGTCGCCGGGCGCACCAGGCATGCCGGGCTGCGAAAGAAAAGCTGGTGCAGCATACCCTGGCCTGTGAGAACGCGATTGCGTCGCTGGTATGATGCCTTCATATCGTGTGAGCAAGCCTTGACCCAAGAGGGTATGTTGATGGTGAAAATGTTCCCGTAGGGTGGCGGGTGACAGAATAGGGGGAGGGGAGGGGGAAATGGCAGGAGGAATGAGGAGGAAGGGGAGAAAAAATTGGAGGAGGACCGGTTCACCCCGCTTACTGGACACCCGGAGCGCTTTAGTAGACGCCTTCGCCCCGTCTCGGCCCGTCACCATGGAGTATGTGAGCTCTCAGATGTTCTTGGCTCCGTCTGGGCTTCTGGGTGCTTCTGAGGACCTCCCCCTGTCCAGTCTTGCCCTCCGCATTCGGAGCTTTCGGTTCCAGAAGTGTGAGGCCGCTGGATGCCCCTGCAACTCAGGAGGCCTCCAGGGAACTCCGCGGCATGGGCGACCATTGCATCGACGAGCGCGCCTGGAGGCGGAGGCTAGACCGGTTGCGTGCAGCAAGTTTCGCACCCGCCCTTGTTCAACAACCCCCCTTTCGTCCTTTCGTCCGGCCCGGACCTGGCTGGACGGCACCATACACGCTTGCCGCGCATACCAGCACGTGCGGAAGCGTGCATCGAACGGCTTTGGTAAATGGCTGGCGTCGTCCCACCTGGCTCATCCGACGGCCCTCCTCCTCGCGCAAGGGGGGCCCGCGGCCAGCCGCCTTGCCCGTCGCCTCCGCTTCCGTCCTCTCGGCCCACTGCCGGAGCGTCTGGCAGAGCGCCTGAACTGCGATCGCGGGTGGCGCTCTCGGGGAAGGCCCTCGTCCTCCCTCCTGTTCCCCTCTCCTCCTCGTCTGTCCTCTTTTCTGCGCGCTCTCGCTCGTCCTCCCCCCTTCTCCTCGTCCGATGTCTTCCGCCTTCCCCTCCTTTTCCTCCTCCTCCTCCTCCCCCTCCTCCTCCTCCTCCTCCTCCTTCTCCTCCTTCTCCTCCCCCTCCTCCACCCCTCTTCTTCCTCCTCCTCCTCCTCCTCCCTCCTCCTCCTCCTCCTCCTCCTCCTCCTCCTCCTCCTCCTCCTCCTCCTCCTCCTCCTCCTCCTCTTTCTCCTCCTCCCCCTCCCCCCCTCCTCCACCCCTCGCCCTTATAACACGCAGCGCCTCCCTGTCGCACCCCCAAAAACGTCTCCGTGGGGCGGGCCAGGCCTTCCTCGCCTGAGCCAGTCTTCCTCTTTTTCGGGAAGCTCAGCATCTGAACCTCTCTGAAGGGGGTCCTGGGACGAAACAAAGAAATAGACACGAATCACAAGATTCCACATACTTTCCCACATGTTTTGGGCTTTTGTCTTCCCCCCCACTTCCCGTATGTTCCAGCATCTGCGGCGGAATCGACGATTCATTGTGTCTGTGTGTTCTTCCCTCCTGAATCTTCACGGATGGAAGACGGGTCGTTTCAAAATGTGGTTATCGCCTTAAGGCCGCGCAAGCTCGTCTATAAAACTCTACAACCGATTCAAGGATGGAGGGCGGGCAATGTTCAAGATGCTGCTCTCGCCTTGGCGCCGCGCGCATGCTTCCGAAAAGGTCGCAAGAATTCTATGGATGAAGGGCGGTTCTGTTTCGACATGTGGTTGCCTTCCCTAGCGCCGCGCGCATTCGATTTGACAGTTTGTAACAGCTTCGAGGATTCGCATGGTAGACGTCCTAGGAATGGTGCCCTGGCAAGATTTGGTATAGAACGCAGCACTCGCGTTCACTCGCGGAGAAAGGCGGTGACCTGGAACGCCTTAGGGTTGCCAGGACGCAACAGGAACGTTGGCTCGCGACGCTGAGGTCCGAGGAATTGTGTTTTAGCACGATTGAGGATTCGTGGCGCCTGCCTTCCAGCGGGGAATTTCCCGCAATGCTGAACATGTGATGTGGGGAATCGCAGCATCGTTGACGCGCTTTGGGTTCACACTGGTCCTCCCCCTCCTCCTCCTCCTCCCCCTCTTCCTCCTCTTCCTCGTGCTTCCCTCCTCACCCTTCTTCCTATTCTCAGACAACACAAGACTGACCCCTCGACGCCGACTCCGACCCGCCGACCTGCCCACCGTTCCTTCCTCGTCCTTCCTCTTCCTCTTCCTCGCTCTGTGTTGGTTTCTTGCCATCTTCCTCCCCTGACCTTCCAGTGGGGAAAAATGAGCGCGGCCTTCTGAACGGTCTGGGCTGCTCAAAACCTCAAGTGGGATTTGAAGTCGAAGGTAGGCATCGGCGCATCCGCCAGGCAGCGGGGATTTCAAGGGGGGGTACTGGACTCGAAGCGGATTCAGCGCACCCGCGGGGCATCAAATTAGCATGCGACGCTGCGATGAAGATGTTGGGGTCGCTGTGGCATTGTCGGAGCGCCCCGGGCACCTTCCGCCCCAACTGGCTTGTTGTACCTGACTGTGCTGCTTCCCCGACCAGACGAACAACTCCGACCCACTGGGCTCCTCCCTGAGATCCGCAGGGTTTGCGGCAAGATCAATCGGCAAGAGGCTGGCCGGTGGGAGGCTCGAAGAGGTGCGAGCGTGTTCTACGATTGGCCCCGAGGCCATAGCTGCGAGCATACGCCTGGGGGGCTGATCCCCACGGGGGACTTCGCAACCCGCCAGGGGATCTCGACTGCGGCAGTATGATAATAAAGGGGCCCTGGGACACACACTCCCCCACTTCCCGTATTATCTCATATTCTCCTCCCCTATTTTTCCCCCCACTTCCCGTATTTTCCCATATTTTCCTGGGGATCGACGATTAATTGTGTCTGTTTTTTTTCCCCTCCTGGGATAAATTCAACCACGGCGTGCGAGAGGGAGAGGGTCACTACTTCGTTTTTTCATGCAGGCAGCCGTCTGCCAGCACGTTCCCTCGGTCGGGTGCCTGTAATTACTAAAGCAGCACAGACCTCCGACGATGCCGCTGCAGATCCGTTGCGCCATCTCGAACGTCGCCGAGGCGGGACAAGGGCTGGTAGCCGGGTCTTCGTGCGCAGAATCTCGCGTGGTGTTTATCCGGATGTCGCCGACCTGCCCCAGTTTCTTCTCGCCCTCCGTGGCAGCGACGGTACCGCCCTCGACCTCCATGGCGTCGTCGTCGGTGCCTGTCTGGCGTTGAAATCGAGCGTTCTCTTTGAGGGCCTCGTCGAGCTTGCGTTGGACCCTCGCCAGCTCCCACTGTTCAGCGCTGGCAGCTCCCCCGCCACCAGCCTCACGTTCAGCTCTTCCTCCAGCACCTGCACCCACGGACCTGGGCCTAGCCGCACGCCACCATGCGACGCGGCACGTTTGCCTTGGAGTGGCGCTCGGTGTTCCAATGTTCTTACCGATCACATGCGTTTTGCAGCGAGCATGGCCGATCCATGGAGCAATCGAATCGGCAGTGCAGCGGCGTTTCTTTGCACCCAGCTCGAGCGCTGTGATGTGGTAGCATCCAGAGAGAAGTGTGCAAGCACGTCCAGCGACCCCGAGATTGCAGCACTCGTCAAAAGACTTTGCTGAAATAGGAGTCCGTGGTGCTTGACTCAGGCAAGAGCCTACGCATCGACGTCAGCGCTCGCAAAAGGGCCACCAACATTCAAAAGACTCGGCTCGCGAAGATTCGACCCTGGCTCGCTCGTTTTAGAAGTCTCAGGAGCAAGGTCAAAGGAGCCTGAGATACTGCCAAGGTGGGAGCTCGTCCGCCAGCTCTGCGCGAGGCCTCCATCGTCGGACCCTCCAACAAAACAATCGCAGAGCGCAAGGCCGCGATGGCTCAGGCCGTGTTCTGGGTACCCTAGGGCCCTCCAGGATGCTGGAGTTTCTCTCATGGCCCGATCCCTTCGCCGATACTGAGCACGCGGCTGCTCCTGGGCCCATCACGATGCGAGCCAAGGCGATCAAACAGAACTGGGATATCGCTGGGATGTATGGGTTTCGGGACTTCTGGGGGCGGAACAGGGCCACGGGATGCGCACAGGGTATCCTGGCAAGTCGGTCCTCAACAGAGCCTTCAAGTCGGTCCTCCAGCAGAGCACTCGGCGGGTCCTCGTTCGCAGTTTTGTGGGCACAGCAGGCTCAATCAAGGGTCTCTCTTCCAGGGACGCCATGTCTAAAGCTGCGAGCTTCGCTCTGTCGGGGCGGGAAAGGCGGCTCGGCTGGCAGGTTTGCGAGTGCAGTGGCAGGAGGTCGTGCTGCACAGCGCGTGTTTTTTTGGGGCGGCAGGTGAACGGTTGGCGGCCCGTGCTTGAGGTGCGGCCAGGCAGCAAAAAAGGGGCGCCATTTCAAAAGCGACGGCCAGAGTTCGTTCACTGCGTAGCCAAGGGATCGCTCTACTGCCCGCAGCCGCACCTCTTGCAGCTAGCGAGACGAGGAGTCCATGCGCTGCGATTCGCTCTCCGACATCTCGGAGCGAGTCAGACAATGACCGCTGCAGACTGCAGACCAGGGCCACTCCAATAGTTGCCAAACACATGTTTCAGCGGGTTGTGGCGTTATCACCATGTGCATATATATATATATATATATATACATACATACATATACATATATGTATGTATGCATGAATGTAACTATATATGGAATGCACTTGTAGACGTCAATGTAAACGTATATGTACATGTATATGTACATGTAGATGCATATGTATGTGAATACGTATATCGCGTGGCAGGCGAACTGCGACGTGGGTGCCCGCGTGACCCAGGTGAAGGCGCGCCTCAGTCGGGCCGAGGCGTTGAGTGCAGATGTAGAGCTTTGGGCGTGGCACAGCAATCGAGAAGCAGAGATCGGCCAAGCTCGGGGACGAGGCCCAGGCTACGTGTCAGTAGGTCACGACCTTTTTTTTGTCAGGAGACGACCACAACTATGACGGGGCTCAGCGGCGATGAGCTCTGCTCAACGGATCTAGGCGGCACAGCTGCGAAGAGCGCAGCTTCTACAACATCTATTATCAGCACATGTGCCCGGTTGCGAGCACCTCTCTGGTTGCAAGCGTGTCAATATGCCACGACTATATCTGGCCGGGTAGCGAGGAAGATCAAGGAGCCGGCGATCGCGATTCCGGGACCCTCAGCAGTCTCGCCAAGCTGCACTGCCCCTGCGTCATCAATATTGAGAAGCCCATTCGTGATAAACCTGTCGCACAAGGAGTTTGTGTATTTCTGACCCGTTGGGCCACCAGCCTGCGCGGGTAGGTAAATTGTTAGAATGTGCGCAGGTGTGGGGGCAAGGGCCAGTCCAGGAAATCCACTAGAGTGGAGGAGGGGGAGCAGAAGGAGGAAGAGGAAAAGGAGGAGGAGGCGGAGGAGGAGGGGGGAGGGGAGGAGGGGGGAGGGGAGGGGAGGAGGAGGATGAGGAGGAGGAGGAGGAGAGGCGGAGGAGGAGGAGGAGGAGGAGAGGAGGAGGAGGAGGAGGAGGAGGAGGAGGAGGAGGAGGAGGGGCAGGAGGAGGAGGAGGAGAGGAGGAGGAAGAGGAGGGGGAGGAGGAGGAGGAGGGAGGAGGAGGAGGAGGGGGAGGAGGAGGAGGAGGAGGAGAGGAAGGAGAGAAGGAGGAGGAGGAGGGCGAGGAGGAGGAGGAGGAGGAAGAGGAGGAGGAGGCAGGAGGAGGAGGAGGAGGAGGAGGAGGAGGAGGAGAGAGGAGGGGGAGGAGGAGGAAGGAGGAGGAGGAGGAGGAGGAGGAGGAGGAGGAGGAGGAGGAGGAGGAGGAAGGAGGAGGGAGGAGGAGGAGGAGGAGGAGGAGGAGGAGGAGGAGAGGAGGAGGAGGAGGGAGGAGGAGGAGGAAGGAGGAGGAGGA